GGGCATGGGTTCTCATCAATGCAGTAATCGAGTCGCCACCAAACTCGATTCTCTCTTTTGATGAGAAAAGTGCATTATTTTGGGAATGGGTTTTTTAAACAGCAATATAGTGGTGTTTTTTGTGGTAAAATCTGTTCATTTAGTATTTCAATGTTTGCGTTGTCATGTTTAAACTTATTAATTTCGTAGAGTTCTAGTAGTTCCATGTGAAGGCTCTTGTTCATTTGATGTATTATTTTGCTATTTTTCCTTTCATCAAAGTTGTGATTATTAAACATAAGATGTCTTCCAAAATTTGAGCTTTCTCTAGTTTTGTGTTCTTTGATTCTCTGGATAAGGCTTCTACCAGTCTCTCCTATGTATATGGCTCCACAAGTGTCACATTCTAGTTGGTATATACCACTTTTTTGTAAAAAGTCTGTTTTGTCTTTGTTATTAACTATTTTATTCTTGGTGGTGTTGCTAGATCTGAAGGATAAACAGATGTTATATTGTCTATATATTTTTTGAATTTTATGGGAAATTTTTCCTGGGTAGGTGATGGCACGATAAATAATATTATTATTTGTATTGTTATCGTTCCTCATAGAAGTTATATTGAGTAAAGTGGTCTTTTGTTGTATTTTATCAATCAGTTTGTGTATGGTATATTGTGGATAATTATTGTTTTGGGCTATTTGTTGTATAATATTAATTTCTTTTTCAAATTCTTGTTGGGTAAGGTGGGAATTTAAGGCTCGCCAAATATATGCTCTGAAAGAAGCATATTTCTGGTTTTCGTGATGATGAGATTCGTAGGGTATGATACAGTCGGTTTGTGTAGGTTTGCGATAAATGGAGAATTCTATTGTGTTATTATTTCTGGAAAGCGTGAGGTCCATAAAGTTTATCTTGTTTTCATTTTCAATTTCAACCGTAAATTGTAATTTATTGTGCAGAGTATTTATATAGTTGTGCAGATCACTTATTTTTGTTTCATCATCAATGACAACCAAAATATCATCCACATACCTGGTCCATAAAAGAATGTGTTTATTGTAGGGGTTGTTTTCATTGATAATCTTTTCTGTTTCAATTTTATTAAGAAAGACATCTGCGAGAATGTTGCTTAGAGGTGAACCCATTGAAAGTCCATCATTGTATTTATAGATCTGGTTGTTGAATTGGCAAAAATTTTGTTTTGTACACTGTTTAAATAAGGTTAAAATATTTTTGATGTCGTCTTCTTTTGTAAAGGTATCTTGAATAATTTCTTTAATTGTTTCTAAGGTTTCTTTAACTGGTATATTTGTATATAAGTTTTTAATGTCAAATGATAAAATTTTGTATTTATTGGGTAATCGTAGGTTAGTAATTAGGGAGATAAGTTGATTTCGGTTGATGATTGTATGTTTGGGTTGAAAGTTTATGTAGTTTCTCAAAAAATTAACTAATATTTTTGATAAGTTATATGTACTGGAATTTATGCAGCTGATTATAGGTCTGATGGGGTGATCTTCTTTGTGTAATTTTATGAGTGAATATAATTTTGGGATTTGAGGATTCATTATGTTCAACGTTCTTTTGTTACCTGTTATTTTATAAAGTGTTTCTTCACATTTTTTAATGGTATTTTTTGTTTCTTTATGAAAGGTTTTAATGGGGTCCTTGTTTATTAATTCAAAGTTGTTATCTTTCATGAAATGTTCTGTTTTGGAGATATATTTTTCTCTTTTTAGAATTATTAGACCAGCGTTCTTGTCTCCTGGTGTGACTATTAGATTGTTTTCCTCTATTTTCCGTTTAATGTTCTTAATAGTTCTTGATTGGTTTTTTATCATTTTCTTTTCGGTATTGTTGTTATGTCTCCTATTCTTTTCCTCCTTCAAAAGTATCTGTTGTATATCCTTTTTTATCTTTTCTTCATCTTTGTGTCCTTTTAGAGTGGATTGTATTTCTATGGCAATTAGGGGTAAATTAAGATTTGTCTTTGTGGCAAATTTCTGTCCTTTGTTCAGAAATTCTTCTTCTTCCGGACTGAAACTAACATTTGTAAGATTTGTGATTCTGGGATGAAAATTATGTGTGCTAATGTCTTTGAATTTATCATCTATTTCTCTAGTTTTTCTTTCTCTGAGTTTGTGTAGTTTTTCTCTTTTCTTTTTATTTATTTCTTCTAATAAATTGTTATTGTGTTTCTTGGCATCTTCAATGCTTTGTTCTAGTTCGATGTGGTGTACTTGTTTACTAATTGTTTGGTACAAATAATATAGTTCTATATTAATTAAGTTGATTTTATTATAGTGTCCGTTTATAGTCTTTTTAATGTGCTGTGTTTTCAAGGATATTATTTTATTTTCATGTAAGTGTTCTGGATATTTTTTATTGGTGAAGTTAGGAAATAGTTTTTCTCTTAAGCAAGTTTTCAGGAATTTAATGTGTTGTAGTTGTAATTTCAATCGATAAGTGAGACGTTTGTAGAGGAGGATATTATTGGCCGTATTTGCCGTTTGTATTCTATGTATTTGTTTATCCATATCACCGTTGTAGAATTAAGGTAAATATTAATTAAAATTATATACTATGGTGATTATTTATATATTTGTCTTACTAGTTTCGGTTACATTAAAATTTTTAAATTCAAAAATTTAAAATGTTACAATATTCGTTACTTAAGTTGACCCAATTTTTTTCTTTTTCAAAAACGTACAATGACTTTTTGATTTTCAACGACTTCTATTACTATTATTATTACTACAATATTGGAGTATCTAATTCTATATCTTTTCAAATGACTATTGCTATCATTTTAAAATAGACAACTTTAAGGTTTAAGGCTTTAGCAATATTTTTAAATTTGATAATTTAAATATATTTTCCCGTGATAGGTGTGTCGCAAGATAATAATATTTAATTAAGCTCAGATTATTGTGATGATTTCATTGGAATTCTGGATAAAATTATCTCTCAGAATCATATCGTTGAGTTCATTATCGATTATTCACCATACAAAACACCAAAAGCGCATGCGTTTATCATTTCTGATCGAATAAACTCCAATTTCTCCGGGTTTTTTAACGCAACAAAGCAAAATGTTCAAATTAAACGAGAAAACGTGTGATAAAATTTTCGTAGTTGTATACATAGTGTGTTTTTGTACTGTGTCTATTTATATGTATTCTGGAAAATCTAATAATGAAATATTAAATGAAAATATTAATGAAAACGAAGAAGTTGAAGAGAAAAATGTAATAAATGCAGAAATAAATCAAGAATCAAAAAAGATAGATGAAGATTTTACATTAAACTCGTGGAAACATTTTTTGAATGAATATATCGGGAATAAAACTAAATGCTATTTTTCTAAAGAATTTGATGAAAAACCAAAGTCGTCAGAAGAAAATGAAACTGTTATTCATATTTCGATTTTGTTGCTTCAAACGTCTTTAATTTGGACTATTGTTGATTTTGTCGATAGATACATGAAACGAGGGAAGAAAAAAATAGAAAAGCCACCGTTGCATCGAACCTGTTCTTTAGCTGATATGACTTTAATGAGACATCAAAGACGTGAATCGATGAGGAAGGATCTTTCATTGGATGCAAGGTTTCCATCGAGAATGATTGGTAGGAGTTCAAAAACAGAATTGTGCGCGATTTATAAATAAAATAATAAAACTGATAAGGTATTAAATGGTGGTGAATTTATTGCTACCGAATAAAAACACTAGAGTAAAAAAAAATAAGTAGAAAATGCTTTTTATGGTTGATAATAATTAAAAAACTAATGTTGATTATAACATAATTAATATTTTTGATTTTAGTTTCCGAAAATATTAATCGTCGATGTTCCCTTCCTTTGGGTGGCCCTAAAGATCAGCACAAGATAAGAAAAGATTCCATTGACGTCACCGGTTCATTACGCAGAAGGATGACTATTAACAGTATTGTCGAAACGCCTCAAGAGTTGGAACATAAAAGAAGTCATGTGAGACTTTTACACAGACATTAAATTCAAAATTTAAAGGCAAAATTTATCAAAACGAACATTAAACACTTTGAGATGCGCACAACGACTAAAAACTTACTAAAGGAATTCTCAAGATTTTAAGACCAATTTTATTGCATCGTGCAAAGAGCTATCGAAGATTTTTAAAACATTTTGAAACATTGTCAAAAAGTTGAAGATCCTATTTTTGTAAAACCGTACTACATATTACAAATTTAATGGTTATCTGTAAATTTGACGTCTCACATGGATTAAATATTTAATTTTGTTAAGAAATGTATTTAAATAACAATAAATGTGGAGATAATAAATAAAATTCTATTGAATAATAATTAAAATCCCATGTAAAAGATTCCATTTCATCCTTCCATCGTAATTCAAGAAATTAGAAAATTAACAAATGAAATTAGGATCTTGAAAAGATGAACGACACTCTTCCATGTTATTTTTATTGCTTATGAGCGATTTCAAATATACGAAATCCTCCATCTTTTCGAAGTTAAAAGTTAAATTTTGTCTTATTCGACTCTTCATATTTACTGAGCCATGTATTTTGTTTTTGCTTCATTTAATGGGAGATTTATTGAGGTTCATTTAGTATGTCAATATCATCTATGTATCCCAGAATTTGGACTGATTTGACAAATACTATTCTTGTAGTTTCCATTTCCACCTCTCTAAATACTTTCTCCAGCATGATATTAAACAGCTGACATGACACCCAATCTCCTTGTGGCAATCCGTGGTTTATTTCAAAACTTTTCTGTTATCCTTTCCAATGATGTCAAACCTGACCATAGCTTTTATTACTTTGCTTCTATTTATACACAGCTCCGAAGTCTATGGACAGGTGATATATATTTATCTTGTATTCCCCTTGCCTTTTTCAATATTTGTCTTAGGACAAATAATAATCTCGAATGATGATTTTTCTTCCTGTGGTACCTTTCTGAACGTCTCTGGGTTCTTTATAATTTCCTTTATCCCCTCTTCATTCAGAAACTCCTCAAACTCACTTTTTGATAAAACTTTTGATCTCATCGTTGTTTCTTAAGTTCTCCATATCTTGGATGGTTTTGTTCTCATAACTTCTTCATTCAGTTTTATGCGTTTTCTTTCCTGTTGCCTCTTCTTTTTATAGAACGTTTCCGGTGTTGTTGTTCTTTTCCGCTGCAGCTTTTGGTTCACTACGTACTTTGCGTCGATTGCCGCTCTGCACTGCTCATCAAACCACTCACCCCTGTTCCTTGTTAGTTGTATTCCCAACATCAACATTGCCGCCTCTTTGGCGGATGTTCTTATTTTCTTCCACCTCTGGTTAATGTTGAGTTCTGGTGATATGTTCGCTTCTTTCAGTCTTGCTGTATTAAATATCCTTTGTTTGAGAGCCTCGCCTTTTCTGACATTTGATATTCGAAAAGGGAAGTATTCTAAGTGGTATTTAATTATAAAAAATTTTCAATCTGACTAGTTACAGCTATATGGGATCCTCAGAGTCGAAAATATCGTTAAAGGATTAAAATATCAAACATTGGTTCTCGAAGATTATTACACAGCCTTATGTTTCATATTTTAATCCCTGGACGATATTTTCGACATAGTCTCTGAGGATGGCATAAAGCCAAAACTAGTCAGACTGAATTTGTTTTATAATTAAAGGCCAATTAAAAAATACATAGAATTTTTTCCCTTTTATATAATTATTGGTAAAATGGATTTCGATTATAATTCTTTTCATAATGTTTGATATTCTGGCTCTACAAAGAAGCGTTTGTAGAAAAGTAGAGAAGAAGAAGTTTGTGCCTTTCAAAGATCTTATATCCAATATGATGGAGCTGTGCCTACCATTTGTGATCCAATTGGTCGATTTACACGTCATTTTGTGTATTTGATTGTATTCCTGTCTGGTACTGGCTATTACCATTTCTTGACGCTGTAAATAAAATGAGTCTTTTTCCATTATCATTGATTTGTGTTTCTAGATAAATTAAAACTTTGTGTTTCTAAAACAAATTGTGGTTATTAGAGAAATAACTTTATGACGTTATTCATACGGTATTGCTATGTAAACTCTCAAAGGCCACTAAAGGCACTTAAACCGAATTATTATTAATTTGTTGTAACATTTCCTCCCCATTGAAATCCTTATTTCAATAAAGTGTACAATAAAGAAGTAACAAATGAAGAAATTAGACCTTATACAAAATCTAATTCTAAAACACCTCCCTTCGAATATTACTAGCCACTTAACTGATATCTTCAATTCATGCTTAAAAATTGGTTACTTTCCGGTGACTTGGAAAGAAGCTGAGATAGTAATGTTTCCCAAGCCAGGAAAACAGACCAGCCGTACATCTAATTATCGTCCTATAAGCCTCTTACCGACTCTCTCAAAATTGTTTGAAAAAATTATAATACCAAGACTTCAAAATCAGCTGCTGAAAAGAAATATTATCCTAAACATACCGTTTAGTTTTCGAACGGGTCATTCAGCGATTCACCAATTGGTGCATGTTACGGAATTTAATGAGAAAGGTTTTGCAAATAAGCAATACACCATTATCGCCTTTTTAGATGTAGCTAAAGCCTTTGATACTGATAATAATAATGTTTATTAATCGGATAAGATACATGTACAATTAGAAAAAATAACAATAAAATTATAACAAGCCAGTTCCGATTAAAGAGGGTCATGTCAGATCAACCAAGTGACCAAGGCCCCTTTCTCGCACTGCTTTTCAATGACCCTCAGCAAAATAATAAGACAAAAATTGAAAAAAAAAATAATTGAAATGAAATCAAGCCGATTATAAGCGCAAAAAACATAACAAACTTAAAACTTAAAATACACAATAAGCAGCATACTTACATACAACAAGCATAAATATATATATATCGATGTGGATCTGACAAAACGACGTAAGCGCCATTTGTCAAATTTTGCAGTAACTTAATAAAAATGATTGCTATGTATAATTATAATTGAATTATAACGCCAATACATTTTTCATGTTTTGTTTAACTACCATAACCGTTCTAGTACAACAAAGTTAGCAACAAATACTTGGATTTCCAGTAAAAAAGGTTTTCATGTCGCTTAAGTCGTTTTAAGATTACAAATGGCGCTTAAGTCTTAAATACATGTACTTACGCCATTCACTTTGTATGAAATTGTGATCAAAGTGGTACNGCGCAGTGCCGAAACGCGTACGAGCGTAATTAACGGCCGGCGCTGTTCTGTCAGGACAATCGGGTCCGGTGCGGCAGCAGGATTGATGGGCAGACCGCAATTTTCATGCTAATTTCTTTGGTATTGACACAATTTGTCGGCGAGGATCTGCCCCATAATATATTTCGCGACACCGCCGTCGCAACACGATTTACGTCCTTGTTAAGTCGACTAAGGGATAGATCAAACCACAAGACGCCCCGGACAATGGCCATCAATTACTCCTCCTTCTATTTTGCACAATCCAACTGACTACCGACTACAATTCGCTGTGTTGAGAATTTATCACTCGTAAACTTCCCGATGTTAAAGCAATAAGGATGAAAATAAATGTTCTAAAGCTGTTTACATCGTTATTATTGTTAACCCTCCAGTACTAACATGATTTTTGTAAAATCACTTAATAAATGATGCGATTATGGATGTATTGTGCATAACCGAACACTGAATTCCAAACTACAACGTTGTCGCTTATAGTAGTAGAGAAATGCACATGGTGGTGTTCTAATTGCGGTTAAAAATTCAATTGCAACTGCGGAACTAGATGTTACTGAATTTAACAAAGAGAGATATCTAGAAATATGTGGAGTCGTTTTTCGGAAACAAAACATTGAATCATAGTGGTATATCACCTTACTTGAAACAGATTGAAACAGATTTTTCTTTTTTCTATGAGTTATTTATAAATGAGGATTTCAATATCTGTATACAAGAACAAGCAAGTATTAATGAGAATTTCTTGAGATTAATGAGGGAATATGGGTTACACCTTATTTTTACTGATCCTTCAAGAATTAATGGACACCATTGCGTGTATAATATGTTTGTGGACTTCTTTTATTGATGTGATTTAAAACTGTCTAGGGGCTGTCTACTTTTTTCGTGAAATCTGAAAATAAAATAGATAAATTAATAAAACATACGGAACTTAATAAGAAAACAATAAATGATTTTAAAACGAAGCTAAGTGAGTGTGATTAGTCGGTGATATATAATCAGACTATGAATACACAGTTGTGTTATACTGCTTTTCATGATCTACTAATGAGATACTATAATGATGCTTTCTCAGAAGTCACAACAAAAAGACCAATAAATGACCTTCACCTAAACTGGAATACGAAGTACCTACAAGCAGCAAAAAATTATCTGGCATACCGTTATTGAAGTAACTAAGGAAAAGAACCTCATACAAACTTATAAAGAACTAAGAGTGTTTTATAAAGCGAAAAATGATGAAGGTAATAAAAAGCTTATTCTAAATTTATAAATAAAGCTGAGAATAAAATTAGAGCGGCTTGGAATATAAAAAAGGAGAGGCAAGGCAAAGAAATGTGAACAAATTGAAGGACGGCTGAATGCAAATGAGTTAAATACTTTCTTCGGCAATATAAGCAATTCAATAGTCAATATTGATGTAACGAACTATGTGAACAAAATTTGTCCAACTTCTGATCTTTGGTAATTTTACGTGATGGCTCATGCTTACCTCTCCAGTCTTTCACTTCAGAAAATTTTCCCTCTATGGCGTTTCTTATTATTCTCTGCGTAATTCCTAAAGTTGCAATGAAAAATTGTTGACAAACTTTCTCTTGAACTTGTTGACGTAGAAAATGGTGTTCATATGTTAATAATCTTCTTGAATTTTCATTTGGAGTTCTTTTCCGTTTCACTGGAACCAATTTTATGCATCCATTTATATAGGATTTTTGAGATACGCCATTTCCCATTCTCCAAAAGTTATTGAATAACTCCTGTCGCTCTTCAACGGAAAAGAGATTGCAGTTATTCCTACACTTTTTATCCTTACATGGATTTGGTAACATTGTTTTAGGGGGAATTGTTCTTCCTTTGTAGTCTTTGTAACGTTTCCCAATAGATTTTCTTCTTTTATTTGTCGCTTTACTTCCCAAGTCGCTCCTCTTTCGCTTCCGCTTTTCAGCTAAATCATTATCATTAGAAAAGTTTAGACCTGATAAGTTATCAGTAAGATGGGAGTCAGATATGTCAGAAGAGTCGGGAGATTGCTGAGAGGTACAGGGCTCGCAGGAGGCCTGGTCGTAAGAGAAGTCATAGGATTG